TCCTTGCATCAACTTAATGTCCATTCAATTGCTAAGAAATTGGAGGAACACATAGGTAGAAGACAAACATTCTATTTTGGTTATTCTTCCAACTCAGCACCCAAAGAAAAAGTAATAATCTTAGGCTATGAGGAATGTGCACACCAAAAAATGGTTACACAACTGTAATTTCTTTTTCTTTTTTTGTTATACTTTCCATCAATCAATCAAAGCCTGATAGCAAAAAACAGAAAGTGCTCCATTTCCCTGCACAACAAAACTGAATCTTATTTATTTCACAAAAAATTCTTATAGTTGCAAGAATCATACTACTTTCTCCCTTCGCGACAAGATTCCAATTGACAACCCTTGGCTCCACCACACTGAGAAGCTCAAGGAAGAACAATCCACTTGAAAGGTTCTTATCCTGGGCAAGTGCTTAAAAAAAACAAAAGCACCACCTGTTAGTCATAGTACAAAATATGATAATTAATGAGAAGAATGCCAAGTTTTAACCTTAAAACTCTCCATTTGAGAATTTCTGCCTGTGCTCTTCACTTTCCAAAAAACAAAAGCACCTAACCCCAGTCCAAACCCCACCCCCACTTCCGAAAAAACAGAAAAAAAAATCCCCAAAACAAATAAAAGAGTTGGTGTAGTGAAAAGAGTTGGTCCCAAAACATAATCTAAAGTTAGTTTGTTTTCAATAAATTCAATAAACTGTTTTTGTTTTTATGAAAAAAAGAAAATTTTATTCCAAGAATCAATGAATTACAAGAAGCAAAGGAATTGAAACGATTATAATTACAAAGAGTTGGCTTTAATCCTTCAAAAGGACTAAAACCATATAACTACCAATCACAACCCAGCTGCCCAGCCATGAGAATGCAAAAACAGTCAAAGCTCTCAGACAGACCATAGGCTGCCTGCAGAATGTAATTAGAACTGAACCAGCTGCTGGTAGAACTCCTGCATCATTCTAGCTTCAATGCATCAGGCATCAGCTTCAACACTCCAGAAGTGCAGTATAACAGTATTGCAACCAAAGCAGCGCAGCAGTGCAGTATAACAGTTCAACACAGCAGAGCAGCATAGCAGGCAATCAGGGTAGTGCCTTACACATGTAGTATGTCACAGCACCAGCTAAGCATTTAACCTTCTCTATCCAATAAACAAACACAATCAGTAAAGCTAAATTCAATAAACAAACACAATCATTAAAGTTAGTTTGTTGTCAAGTACAAAACCAAAGAATTATGACAACCTTCCATTAACTCGTTTTCCAACCAATGCTTTGAAAAACTTTTATTTTTTAGCGAGTGACAAACTTTTATGTTTTCCATAAGTATAATTTTTATTTTTCAGAATGTTGCTTTATTGTTTTCATTGTTATCATTGTTCTCATAAATGGGTGTCGATCCTTTGTTAGCGAAAATTCTGAGGAAAACAATATCCTGTATTATTGATAATTTACATGAGGTTCTTGTATTGGAATATCAAAGAACAGTCAATCAAGTTATAAAAACTCAATACTAATTAGCTTTAGGAAAGATTTGGAACCTAGTCCATTACCATGAATCATGGTTTTAAAGCTTATAACAATATTACAGGTATTACTGGAAAAAAGGCATTATAGAGGGTTATCACAAGAGAGATAGGGTGTATGACATGTAGTTGAATGACTTCTGGCACTTGTGGCATATTCAATGTGGAGACCAAGTTACTGCATGCTAGGGTAAGTTAATGGTTTGATGCATCACCAATTTTGCTACATGAAAGGGGGAAAGATGATTACACTATGTCTGAACTAAGCATTTATAGGTGAATAAGATTTATTGGAAACTACATATAAAAAATATAAAAACAAACTTTGAAATCTGAGTCAGATTAAAGTGATCTTTGAGGTAGAAACAAGTTTGACAATGAAGGACTACATGCTATGAATTGGGTTTCATAGTTAAGGAAGTTTCAAGAATGGAGAACAAATTTTGTTATACAGCAAAACTGAGCCTTTAATTGTTCACATAGTAACTATTCTGATGAGTTTCTCATATATTTGTTGGAAGACATTTAATATGAATTTAGTTAACACAAATTTGCAGTGCAATATCAGAACTTTACAACCTGTTCTTGGTTTTGTGGCATCTCAATTTGATCTTGCAGTGTTAGGCTGATTGTGTTTATAATGAGTAGGATCAAGTTACAAATTTATTGACAGTGCGTAAGTTTTAAATGTTAATATGTCCTTCCTTGGTTTTGTAGATGTGAGCTATGCAATACAACTTTTGTTAAAGTTTTAATCCATGGTTATTATAGATAAAAGCTTTAGAAGTAAAATATGTCATGCTATCGAAGGCATTAATATAAATATGAAAATTATTTGATAGTATATTGTATATTGAAGGTATAAAATGTCGAGGAGACGCGCTATAGTAATGTGCTATTGGGGAGATAATATTATCTACAATTAAGGTTGTTTATCGTATAACGGAAAGCCTCAACATTGTATGAAGTTAAAACAAGGAACAACATATGAAGAATTGTCCACCACGTTGTACACGATAATGTAGCTCGACAGTACAACATCACGACTACAACTAATTTGTCGGTTTCCAATATTTTGGGTGATCGCATGCAATAATACATCGAATTTGAAATTAAAAATGATGCCGAGATCACGGCGATGGCAGATGTTGTATTTGAGAACCGTGCACTGAATAATATTGACTTGTACATACAGTCAGAGTCCATTCAACAAAACTTCTCTCTCATTCAAACGATATTGTCATTCCTCGCTCATTCTATTCATAGACCTTTGTGAGAAACGTAAACGATGATTTAAAGGATAAAAGAATTCATCCTCTAACGCCCAATGATATCCCATAGTTTCAAACACTGAGCGTAGACTGTAACTCATTTCTGCAGTTGATAATTATGGTAAGAGAAACAACACACACAATCAATTTATAGTGATATTCTAGTGGTAGTCATAGTAACTGTTTAGCCGGCTGTGCCTATAATTTTTTTAAATATGATGATTTGACTGCTCATGCAACACTTCTGACTTTTCTCTAGACTGCACACAACACATGACTATCAGTGCAAAGTTGTCAATGGTTATATAAAAAAAGACTATTTGTACATAGTTGTCACTGTTATGTCAATACCATCTTTTTAATTCCAATACTGTATTATTGTGTAGCCGCTATCCTTGTTCATTAGTCACTATCGTTATTCACTCGTCACTTTGTCACTGTCTGGTCACTATCATTGTTCACACGTCATTGTGTTACTGACTAATCAGTATCTTTGTTCACTCGTCACTGTATCGCTCTATACTCACTACCATTGTTCACTTGTCACTATTTATTCACTGCAATTTTTTTGTATTCAGTTCAATGAATGTAATATTAAATTAACTTACGTTCTTGTTTAAATACGGCTACATAAACTGTTGTGAAAACCATACATACACTATAATGTCAACAACGTCACCAAATAGGTCTTTTAGCCAACCTACCGATGACTCATTCCCAACCAACCATTACCATCATGAAATATTTTCTTCATTCAGTTCACCAAAACCCGGTAATTACACAGATCCCACTGGAGTAACATGGTATGGAAAATTACGTTCCTTTAAGAATGAACCAATCAATATTCATAACTCTTTCACCGAAGTCGGTCATGTGATGATTGGACTTGCAACCTTTGTTTCGCCTCTAGATTTTTATTATCACCTACTGGGACTAAGTTGGTTGAAATCTTATTTCAAGCGCTGTCGGCTTGAAGTATATTGTCGTTGGCATGGAGTACGAGTGCCACAGACACGTTTAGGTGAAATGTATATGGAATGGTGCATAGATAGCTACGATGATATCATTGCAGCACTGGCTTTTGATAATAATCAGATGGAACGACGGCTAAATCGATTCCACCTTATTAAAAAGGCAAAGATTGAACATTCTAACCTTGTACAGCCTATTAATGCAATATTGTCCGATCTATCATTGACATCTGACAATGAACTTTCAGATTTTGAAGAATTAAGTGATGATGATTATACTGCAAAATTTCTCCATCCTACTCTTTGCTTACATGACACTCCCCTGTGCTGTTTGAAATATGGTCTTCATTAGACATATTATGACTGCCATTGCTATATTATGTCGTTTAAAATCTAATATAATAGTTATATTTCAGCAAAAGACTTAAAATCTCTTCATTATAAATGCATTTTTGTAATATTTTTATCACACAAGAAATAAAATCTCTTTTTCGCTTATTTAGGGTTTATTGCTTGGGATTGGGTGGTTAGATTGCTAGAATTCTTTTTGGACAATAATAATTTGAGTGGATAGGGTTTCTTAATATTTATGATATAAGGTTTGTTTGGATGGGTAGTATTTTTGATAATTTAAACTTGTGAAAGTTATTTTTATTATTTATTGTTTAATAAGGGTGAGAATGATAAGTGGATGTCATAATTTAATTTTTCAATATGCTTAAATAAAGTTACTTTTATTATTTATTCCAATATGCTAAATATTTTGATCATCACATGGAAAGCGGTGTTGAATATTCCAATAGTTGAGAAATATTGCATTTTAATCATCACATGCTAAATATTTATTCCAATAGTTGAGAAAAAAAACGCTTTCACTAGAAAGCGGGATTGACAAAGTCATTTTCTAATGAAAGCGGATTTATCACTTACGTTTTCTTGGCATGCAAAAGCCGGTCTGCTTTCACAGAAAGCGGATTTACTAATTCTGCTTTTTTAGTGAAGTCGAAATCCTTAAATCCGCTTTTAAAAGAAGTCACATGTAGTAAGTCCGCTTTCACACGAAGGCGGATTTATTGATTCCGCCTTTAAAAACGACTGTAGATTGGTAAATAAGTTCAAAACAGCTGCATTTTGGTAATTAAGTTTAAAAATCACCGCATTTTGGTAATAGATTCAAAGTTGCTAAGTGATACCCCAACATTAGAGAGAGAGAGAGAGAGAGAGAGAGAGAGAGATGGCAGAGCCCACAGCAGCAAAAGTAACATCGATCTTCATATATCCGATCAAATCATACCATGGAATTTCTGTTTCTCAAGCAGCTCTCACTTCCACTGGTATGACCCCAACATTTCTTTGGTTTTTCTTGTTTTTTATTGTGTAAATCCTTTTATTTCCCTAAACCCAACTGCATGTAATGCATTGCTTGCGCGTATCAAAGGTCTTTCTTGAAATCTGACTTGTGATAGTAAATCTTTTAGCTGCTGACTTACTTGGGTCAAAGAACCTACAGACACAGTTTTCTTCTCTCTATGTGTCAATGATGAACAATTGAAGTTAGGGTAAAAAAATACACCACCATTTGTGTTTACTCTTTAGGGTATTAGTCAAGCAAGCTCGGCACCCCTTCCTCAAAGCAGGGAAAAATTCGTAGGAAGAGACTGAATTCTGGTATTTCAAAAATGCTTCAGAAGTTCAGTACACCACCATAGTCATTACACTGTAGGGAAAAATTCAGGCAATCCACCCAACCTCGGCAGTAGGATAGAGTGGAACCCTGAATTGTATTTCTCAGACAGCTCCCCGAGTCACTAATGAAAGAAGGGAACCCGAACCTATAAGCCTAGAAGCAAGTCAACCGGTAAGAAACATCATATCATAGTTAGTTCTCTCTACAATGAATATAGTTGACGATTTCCTATCTCATCTCTGTTAGAGAGAGGGATATTATATCCAGGGTAAGGCAACGGGAGGATTAAGCTAGCCTTCGGCCCAAAACTCATTGATTTATTGCTGTGTCTTTTGCTAGTTACCTCTCCCATATTGCTCCAACAATATTACTGTATCCGAGAGTTATATTTGGGTATATTTTCAAGGGCTTTTCACACTTTGCACCTTGAAAGATTTTAAAATTTTTATTATGTACCTTCAAAGATTAAATGTTTTACATTGCACCTTTGATACATTAAAAGTGTTGCAATATGGTTGAATTTTTTACAGTTAAACTTAGTAACAAATGGTTATGCTTAATGCAGCCGCTCGAAATTGTAGTTTTTTTGGTTTTATACTTGCAACATTGACCACTTTATTGTTTATTGTCTATTATGTAGTATTTTCATGGATATTGATGAATAATAAAATTATTCCTTCGGTGGTGTTGGTGAATGTCTTTGGTTGATCCATCCAACAGACACAAAAACTGGTATGTCAAGGAATAGATTGTGGTTCTTCTACTAGCAGATGTGCCTCAGTTTCTTCTGGGCTCGTATATGCAGGATTTCGCTGGGATCGGCAATGGTTGGTTGTGAATTCCAAAGGCAGGGCATACACTCAAAGGGTTGAACCAAAGCTTGCGCTAGTTGAAGTGACTCTGCCAAATGAGGCATTTTCTGAGAGTTTTTTTTTTTACACATTTTCTGAGAGTTGGGAACCTACTAAAAGCTCATATCTGGGTAAAAACATGATTTCTAATGTAAACTTTTCTATCTCCAAATAGTATGCTATAATTTTTTTTTGTTAAAAATACTTGGTTCTAATATCATATGATATGCCTGGAGTTCTGATATTCCTTTTCATAACTAAACAGGGTTCAACTCATGTTTTGATGATGAAATAATGTTTCCATCTCTATAGATTTGATTTGAAATTTAAAAACTACTACTAGCATTTGTTGCTAAATTGAAGGCTGCTTCTGTTGCAATATGCTTTCCATTACAACTTTGCAGTTTGCCCCCAAAATCTGTTTCTGTGAAAATGTTCAGTTGTTCTCCGGATATTTTCAATTTCATTTGACATTTCAACCTATATTGCTCGACTGCTCATTGTTAAACTTGACATCCTTAGATTCTCTCTCTCTCCCCTTCCTCTTCTAATATAGAACTTGAGGACCTGTTTTGCCCGCCAGACCAAACTACTGCCTGGGTGCATTTTATTTCAATTTTTACGCTTCTTGCCCTTATCATCTGAATATGTTGATGGATTTTTGCTTAAAGTTGTCTGTATAAATGAAATGAGCCAAGGAATTCCCAATTATTTGTGTTTTCAATTTAAGCTTGTAAATATGATACATGAACGGGATTGCTTACAGTAATTGGTAAGATCTCACTCGTAATGGTGTCATACAATTTCTAGGTTCTCTTTTTTTGCCCCTTTAGTATGATGCTTTTACTTCTATGCACAACATTAGTTTGATTGTCCGTGCTAGTTGGCTGTTGGATTCTAAGTGCTAGTGGGCTGTTGGATTCTAATCTAGATTTAGATATGCACACTTTTTTTTTTTTTTTATTAGGAACACTCTTTATTGATACTAATGGAAATATTACAAGAAGACCCCATCAAGTGGTGGACTTCTAGTCCACCACAAGACAAGATTTTAGAAAGAAAAAAACATAACCAACATTACTAGCCGCGCGAAGCTTTCCAGCATTTTCTACTTCTAATACAAAAAAAAAAAAAAAAGGTATATATTGAAACTCCTTGGACACCGATGCCCGAAAGGAAGCCAAAAAAATAAAGCCTTTCCCATAGACCTTCAAAATCTTCATATTTATTTTCGAAAATCCTCACGTTACTCTCCTTCCAAATGCCATAATGTAGCAAAGAAGACACTTGCCAAAATAAGTGATCCACACTCTCACTATCGCCAATACACATAACACAACATCGTGGTTGAAGACAAAGTATAGGTCTTATCTTTTGAAGCACTTTATTTGTACTGATCTTACCATGAGAAATTATCCACGCAAACATTTGTACCTTTAAAGGTATATATTTGCACCTTTGAAGCATTTTCTACTTTTAATACAAAAAAAAAAAAGGTATATATTGAAACTCCTTGGACACCGATGCCCAAAAGGAAGCCAAAAAAATAAAGCCTTTCCCATAGACCTTCAAAATCTTCATATTTATTTTCGAAAATCCTCACGTTACTCTCCTTCCAAATGCCATAATGTAGCAAAGAAGACACTACGTCAAATGGTCTTCCATTTACTATTATTCCCAAAGCCCACATCTTCCAAGCAAAACAGAGATACCATAGCAACCTACGCAACTCCCATAAAGTCAAAAAGTTTATTCCATAATGCATACACTAAAGGACAATGCCAAAATAAGTGATCCACACTCTCACTATCGCCAATACACATAACACAACATCGTGGTTGAAGACAAAGTATAGGTCTTATCTTTTGAAGCACTTTATTTGTACTGATCTTACCATGAGAAATTATCCATGCAAACATTTGTACCTTTAAAGACACTTTCTCCCTCCAAATATTCAATGATGGATAAAATAGTGGAAGCGAAGGATGAAAAACTTGATTGCTGCCTAAATGATTACCATCTCCTTCTTCTCCTTGCCATTTTGTGGGGGGTTTCAAGTTTTACATGAATCAGGTAAGTTTCTTTTTTTTTTTCCTGAAGAATTTGTCCTGCTTCAAAATAACGTTGGAGATGTAATCTTAGTAATGATCTGTAGTTACTCTTCGACAGTGATAAAGGCCCCTGGGACGGATGTCCTGAAGGTTTCATTGAGTAAACCAAGTGAGATTTCTAATGGCGTCTCAGTATGGGAGTGGTCGGGTTCTGCATTCGATGAGGGAGCTGAAGCATCAAAATGGTTCTCTTATTATCTTGGGAAACCGAGTCGGCTAGTGCGTTTCAATGAAGGTAGTGCTCAATCTATTGCTGTACTCTACGCATGCAACTGTAGGCCTATAATTGTTTCTATGTACATCTAATTCTTTTGCAATTTTGAATAAAACTCAATTAGATTCCTATTGTTTCATCAGAAAATGAAACAATAACATACATTATAGCCAAGATTCTTAATTTCTTGGTTTGTCTGCTTCTAACACTTTCCATGACTATAGAGAAGCATCTCTGTTGCTGTATGGGTTTGCTGTTTTAACAGGAGTTCTATCACTTAATTTATTTTTCCCAGGAAATGATTCTGATTGCATAAACCGTGATCTAGTGCACAGTTACCAGAACTCTACCCGATACGACTCACGATCTGGGTGCAATAACCCCAAACAGCTTGGGTTTGCAATCTAGATTGCCTTCATTTCCAATCCTAAATTGTAACCCTAGCCCTAAAGTGATTCTTTTTGGAACTTGTATCACGAATATAAAATACATATTAATCGACTATGGAAGTATGGATGTATAATTATAAATGGTTTCAGATAATATAAGGCGTACGAAAATATAGGTTTGTGTTGCTCAAACATGGCATATTTGTTTATGCTCAGGGAAAAAAAAATAGCCAGATTGTATCACGTTGTCTGTTTTCCTAGTAGTTTCCAAAGTATTTCAAATTATCCAAATTATAGTTAGAAGTTCTGTCCATCGTAGAGCTTAATACTATTTCTTTACCACGTGATGTTGTTGAATAAGACGTCCATAACTCGGAACAACTGGTTTTTACATTGATGCAGTGTCAGAAACCAGGACCGTGGACCGTAATTATGCTCGTGGATACAAAGTCATGTTTTCTGACGGGTATCCGCTCCTCCTACTATCCCAGGTTAGGCAGTACCAAGTTTAAAGTACCATGCTCTTGAATAGAATGTTACATGTTGGCTTTGTCAATGTTTCTTTGACAGGGATCATTGGATGCACTGAACAAGCATCTCAAGGATCCTTTACCAGTTAACCGTTTTAGGCCAAAGTATGTGTTTAGACTCATGTCTCATTTTTCAAGTAAAACATTAAAGCATCTTGTTTTCAATGTCAACGACACTTTACTGTTTGAATGAATTATGCTAGCTTCTCTGAGAGCATGATACTTCGTTGGACCCTTTTATAAACATCGCTTTTTCTATACTTCATTTAAAAAGCCTTAGACATTTTTTTTCTTCTTTCCTATGATCATATGTGATTTGTACTACTATTAGTCAACGCAATCCTATTTGTCAAATCATTTACTTTTTTTTACTTTGTTATAGCATCCTTGTTGATGGTTGTGAACCATTTTCTGAGGACTTGTGGAAGGAGATGAGGATAAACAAGTTAACATTCCATGGTGTCAAGCTATGTTCCCGCAGTAAGGTAAAAAATTATTCCTCTGCATCTTCCGCCTGGATTATTGTAGTTGGCGTGGTATCTGGAGACTGTGAATCAGTTAAAAGGATTGCTGCATTCTTTTGTAATTTAGTGTTCATGTTGCCAAATCATTTAAAAATAATATGGAATTTTACAGTGATGTCAACAAGGAAAATAACATTTCCGTTGTGCAAATGACCAACAAATCTTATGGGTTGCTAGCTTTTTATTTGCTAGCCATGCCTGTTGCTCAAGTGCTTATGAACATGTTAATGCTCAGAATCAGATTTTCTAACAAACGATTGGAAAGCTTCCGTCTTGTAATGGAGTTCTTTAAATATTTGTGTGTGATAATTGTGGACAGTCATCTTTGTTGGTTTTAGTAGTGTCAGAACTTCTATGCATAGGAAAACCTCCTCGTCATTTGCGGGTACACACAATCAATCAAGATACTGCAATAGCAAGCTCGGAGCCTACTCAAACTCTTATGAAGTTCAGGTGAGATAAGGTCTTGCGTCCAACCCGAAAACAGCAGGGGAAGGTAAACTCAAATCTGTAAACGTTACTTTGCCAGAACACACGAAAAAAAAAAAGGAAAAACTATATATGTTCATTATACTCCGCCATGAGTGAATGATTTACAGAACTCTAATGATTTTCCAGGTCTACTTTGGGCAGAACTTGGTCTGCCCAGACTCCCTAAATCAAATGGAGGGGAAGACAATCAAAGTAGGAGATCCTATTTATGTCATCAAGATGGCCTCTTCCTGTACTGATGCAGCTGCATGAACTCTTTGCTGCTATCGTCAGTAGTTCCCTGTTTGTATTATGAACAATAAACGTATGTTGTGCAATGTATTGCTAGAGGTGGGACACGGCATGCCTGCCTCAAATTATGTACCTTAATCGCGTAACAATAATTATCCTACAATAAAATGCTTCTCATCAAGTATTCTGCTATACTCAATTGTACACATCATGGAGACTTCAAGCATCATTAACAAGCTAAGTTACATTTGATAACGCTTTGCTATCAACAGGAAGAATGGGCTACTTGAAAACGAACTGCAGTGATCTTGAATAAAATCCTACGGAGAAAAAAAGAATCCCCGTAAAAATACCACTCGATTGAGTAGAAGTGTTTTCGTTGATTGAAGTGAGTAGATCTAGGAGATCCTTAGATCATGAAACAAACAATGTGTATATGGTACAATACATAAAATTAAACTTTGAAAAGGGCATAAGTTGGGACAAGGAAAAATTAAAAAGCAAATATTCAAAAAACAAACGCTCTATAAAAAAACACAAAAGCAAGAAGGTACCTAAAAAGATTACCAAACAGTAACTAGGTTATCATACTGGAAGGCTAAGTAGACCACAAGAAACCTGTAGCTTGTTTTATTCATTTCAGCTGATACAAAGAACCATAGGACTTGGTGTTGAAAGACAGATGTGGTATTGGAGCAAGAAAAGCACAAGCAACTTCGAAAATGGGAACAATGGTATGCTTGAAATACGGAAACGGGAACTGTAATCTCAAATTTCTTGAACTCAAAAAATTCCAAAATTTTTACTTTTCCTCTTTCCATTTCATTGGTATTTTCTAACCATTACATGCATTTTACAATTCTGTGCCTTCACAATACCAAAAAAGATCTTCCAATAATTTTACACCCTCTGAAATCATTTGAGGTAATAATAAGCCCTTTACCCAGCAAAAATAGGTAAAAATTAAATTGAGAGCACTGTCTGTAGTGGCTTGTGTAGAGACCTAATCATGTTTAAACCTGTCAACTAAGTTCGCTGCCGAAGCATCAGCTGGAGCTGAATGACTTGTTGCTGCTGATCTGGTGGCAGTGAACTTAACTGCGCTGGTGTGAGATTCAGTACTTGTTGCAGCAACGCCGACTCCACCTCAGGAGCAAGCTGCAAGCATGTAAAGAGAAAAGAGAACTCAAAATAACTTCAATATTGCTATTATAGTATGAACCATTCACATCCAAGGTTGTCAAAACATGTATCGGAAAGTGTATCGTTTTTTAAAAATCGTATATCGTGTATCCTAAGATATATGCAATTTTTAAAAAAAAAATTAAAAAAATACATATACCTACAAAAAGTCATAATAACATTTCATTGCACCACAAATTTCTTACATAAAATAATTTAAAGAGACTACAAGAACCAAAACTAAAATTACCAATCTAAGTATTCAAGTTGCTAATCTAATTCATCAATATCAAAATTTTGAGAGTTCTAATTTCTACCATCTAAAGGAATCAAAGGAGGACAATTTTAGCAATCAAACTATTTGCTACTACGATGAAACGAACAACAAAAGAAGACTTGAATTTTTTAAGACCCTAGATAGGACGTCGTTTCACTACCTAGTGTTTAAAAAAAATACATCCATGTTAACAGGCAGCATTTTTTGGTTAAAACCCAAAAAATAAAAAAATTGATCTGTTTCCTCCCATATCGGATGTATCATATCGTTTGTGTATCGCTCAATCCAGTGCAAGTCTGATACACTTGACTGATACATGTCATTTTCTTCGTAAATCGATACGTATCGTGCAATACATACAACTATTGTCAACTTATTTATGATGTGAGTCACATCATAATCACATGGATAACTCACTATCTATTTGAGTACAAGAAATTGTCTGTACTCACCATGTACAGCTAAGTTGTTAATAACTACAAGTTTCAAATTCACGGCATGAAAAGATGTTTCTGTTTTTTGCAATGCCGATGAAATTGCACGACGTGTATCCTAGAAGACAAATGCAGAATGCAGCAACTCCTTAGACAAATATTTTTGGAAACCAACTACACCTCCCACCCAAGTCTGATGGGTTTCATAACTTTTTGTAGTATGACAATTTTGCCCTCCATGGCTTCCTTTTGTGAGATCATCAATGTTAGTCACTCGGCTGTCTTGTCTCTAGTAGTGCCTGCATCGTTTCTTTCATAAACTTTGAACCTACTCGCACAATGCAGAATCGCTATCATTTTGAGGGTCAAAAGCCCACAAACCCCAACTCCAAAATCCCCAATTTTTCAAATCCAAATCCACTCGGAGAGAGAGAGAGATGCCGCACTTCGGGAGGTCCTATACACCCGCGTTTTCCTTGTCCTCAACATCACTTTCAGTTAGCAGATAGTTTTTCTAGCTCTTCGCAAGTGCCGCAAGGACTTGCACATATTCATTCCTAAATATCAGTGTTTTTATAATCTATCTCGCTTTTTCTGCGATTACTCTGTGTTAAAAAATTAGAAGGAAATAAAATATATATATAATAGGTGTCAGAACACATCCTCCTATAGGTGTCACTATCAGAAAGTTTGCATTCCAAATGTTAGGCTTTTGGTCCCAAAGAGACCTCATTCACTCATAATACATAGAATTATAGAAACTCTATGTTCTTGCAATTATGTTTCTCTCTATGTTACAACTAAAGTCTAGTTTGTTGAGAAATGGAATTACATGGCCATCATGACACGAAAGCTTTTTGTACCCTAATGTAATTTCATATAATTTATGACGATTTACAGTGTTTTAGCATCAATTTCATCATTATGTTTATGAAATTCAAAATATTACGTGATATTAGTTTGGAAAAATTTCAGTCATAACCCTTCTAGTTTATTATATCTTCAAGAACACCCCCTCTATTATTTAAAACATCACTGACACTCCTAGTTTATATTTAAACATCACTGACACTTTCTGCCGTTAAATCACCATTTCTAATTAAAAAAAATTCAAAATACCAACATTATCTCTACATAAACCCCAAACAATCTTTCTACATAAAATTCGATTAAAATTTAAGCCAATTAAAATTTATTTTTTTAATATATTAAAATTCGAGTTGATTAAAATTCATGTTTCTACATATTAAAATGTGAGCCAATTAAAATTCGATTCGAACTAATTAAATTTTATTTTTTTAAGTATTAAAATTCAAACGTATTAATTTTTTTTTACATATTGAAATTCAAGCCGATTTGAGTTCTATTTGAGTTGTTAGGGCCGATTAAAATTTGTTTCGAGTCGATTAAAATCTATATTTTTTCTTATTAAAATTCGAGTCAATTAAATTTTAATCGGCTCGAATAGAATTTTAATCAGCTCCAATTTTAACATGTACAAAAATATAATTTTTAATCGACTCAAATTTTAATATGTAAAAAAATAAATTTTAATTAACTTGAATAAAATTTTAATCGGTCCAAATTTTAATACGTACAATAATTTAAAAAATAGAGTGGATCTCATTGAAGATATATTTATCTAGAAAGGGTGTAGATAAAGTTTTTCCTAAAGTATATCAAGGACAATTTAGTAAAATTACATTCTAGTTAACACTTTTAATCTGATAGGGGTGTTAGTGAAGATTCAGAAAATAGAAGAGTTTCCTTGAAGATATGGTAAACTAGAAAGGGTGTGGTTAAAATTTTTCCTATTAGTTATAATTAATTTGATTAATGATTTGTAGTGATATGTCATATTTTTTGTTGGATAAATGCATATTTAACAAAGAATTTCAAAGTAAACAATGGATGGGTAAATTTGAAAATTTATTTATTTTCAGACTTCAGCTCCTACTTAAATATCAAAATTCACTCTTCAGTATTTAATTTTCAAATTTATCAAATACCACCTAACTGACGTATTTATGCTTCAACAGAGGGATCCAATATGACATAAATAAAAAAGGGGAAGAAAAATTCCTGCACTCGCTCTTTGGTTTTAATAGCCTTAATTTCAAATTTATAAGTCTACACGCTACATACAATCTCAATCAGAATTTCTATCTGAAATCAAATAAGACGCCAACTTTCAAATTCCTAGTTCTGTTGAGATATCTCACCACCTTGCGCAACATTCCATTCTTTGGACCATTGACAAGGGCGCTATGCTCCGCCTTATTTGTGCATGCCTAGGCTACAATACTAAACAACCACCATGTTCACAATTACCCGTCATGGGTGTAAACATTTGAATCGATATTGAGAACTGGTCTCGTCTTTATCTTTCAAAACCAACCTCAGCCACTCCATTGAATGATTTATTGTACTTGTACAAGTGTCGTAAAGCAACAATAGATCATTGATGGGTATTCTAATAATCAAACCATCTACAGAGAACACATTCAAAGTCGGATATGATTTACCTATAAAAGCACTAGTTAACTAACAGATTTGGGTGAGAGCTCGAATGGACCGCCTGAATTTTACAGCAAGCAGGTAATGTGTTGCTTATTCTCCCAATTCAAACCGTAAAAAGAAGTAAGAAACATAAGAACTAGTAGACTTGATTTTTACCTAGGCTTTTTGAACCCTTCCATCAACTACTATTAACATTTTTTTCAACCTCAAATGACCGTGGCTAACAGTAGTTCATTTGGGTGAACTCAAGCTATTAAAGTTCCACAAGAGAGAGGCTAGCAAAGTTTTTGATATTGTACAAACTTCCAATATGCCCATGATGTACAGTATAACTAAATTGTGTCCAAAACAATTAAGATATAAGGAGTGGGCCTTCTATGGGTGTTCCTCCAACTCAATGAATAAAGGGAGGAGTATGAGGAAGCAGGCCTTCTGTATGAAGATTCAAACAATTAGCTTCGACTATCTTTCTTGTTCAAATAAAGCAAGTGGACAACCTCTGAGGTAGCTTGCTTTTTGGCATTGTCGAAAACTCAAGCAAATCCTGGATCGATTGAGAAAGATCAAGCATGCGAAGAAAGCCTAACCATGTATTACATTAGTAAAGG